GACGATGATGATTGGAGATGATGAAGGGAAAGAATGTTGGTGGTGGTTGTGTTAAGGGTCAACGGGAACGGGACGATGGGGTGGGAAAAAAGGACCCTGAAGAGACCCTGCAGGAAGAAAAGGACCCTGAAAAGGGACCCTATTCTCGTTCGCCCTTCTTTCACGTTATTTCGCAATCGTTGACCCTTTTTTTGCGTGATTTTGGTATGGTGTACCCTTCTTTTCCCTTTTCTTGAATCTCGATCGAGATCAAGATCGAGATTTGAAATGGGAGGCCTTGCTCATCTTGTTTTGTTCGCGGGTTTAGAGTTTTCGGGGCCGCAGTTAGCGTGGGAAAATGGAGTGTAAATAGGTAGGACTTCAGAAGCACAGACGGTGTGGAACGTTTACCATGTGGGGGGTGGTGAGATTTACTTTTATTTTTACAGTGTCTCTTGAATGCTTGTTTTTCTTTTACTTCTAGTCTGATCGGTATTTCTGGAAATCTTGGATTGTGGTGGCTGTATCATGGGCAAAAGGTTAATTGGGAGGTTCGGCCATCGCTTGCAGTGGTTTGATGGACGCCACGATATTGCGCTTAGGCTGTTTCTTTCTCCTTCCTGCTTTGCCATACCTTCCCCCCCTAAATGTCTATTTGGTACACTCGTACGTTTTTAAGGTTGTGGCTTCGGGTTAGATACGGCGAGCGAGATGTTTGCAGGCAATGACCTTGATAGCGGTCTTATCTTAGGTTCTGCGGGAAATAGGACGATAGCAAAAGACGAGACTGGCGCATGGGTGGCTGAGGGGCATAGCTCCAAGTGGTGGGACATGGCATTGTGCGGGTGTATCCTGCCTGGTGTTGTGACCTCAGAACGGGAGAGGCCAAAGCAGAAATGTCGAATGGAGTCACATGCATTGTTTTCCTGTCTCCAAATACCGCATTCGGTAACTCGCTGTCGAAAGCAGCAATCACCTAAGAGCATTGACGTCGGATTCCGATTGTGTTCTCTACGCCTCGCATCGAGTCCTCCCTCACCTCCTCACGTTTACGACCGTACATTAGTATCATCCTTAGCAGCAACGACTACAACTAAAACTCTTCCTCCCCCAGCTATATCAACGACCCACATCGAATGATTTGCGCTTGAAGCGTCCTGTGTCCCTTACCGTGCCTTGCGCGGCAATGCAAAACACGCTTGCGTGCATACTAGCCCCCAGAGCGCGGCCCGAAAGGCAACTTTAATCACCTCGCCTCGAGTGGGGAATGGGAGGGGGAATGGGGTGGACATGATATCCTTGCATGCAGCGACCAAACGACAATACTTACAAGAAGAAGCGACGCAAGATACATCCCCGATTGACCATCTAGTCGGAAAACCTGAAAAAGTATGGTCCTGATGGATTCGGGACCCTGGCCTCCCCATGCCTTTTTAAGAGTGGGACTGGCGCATCGTTAGGGATGTATGCGGGTTAGTTCAGGTCACGATAACTGGCCTCACCCCACTTTATCGCCAGGAATCTTGGTGTTATAGTAATAACAACTCCGGTGTATGCATGCAATGTGATGAACATGCACAACGGCCCGAAAAGAGCTGCACAGGGCCTTGCAGCATGTACATACTCAACTGTTACTAGTTCTTTACATTGATCATCGTCGTCAGGGAAGGTGACGCGTTCATCTGGCTTAGGATGAAGGCTAGGGTCTATATCGGCGTTCACTTTCGTATATGCATACTTACTGGGTTCATTCGCTTGCGAGACATGGGGTGTTTGTAGTAGAGGCGAATGGAAACGGAATAGAGGATAGCTATGGGAGTGGGGCAGCGAGTGGAGATTGCATTTTGCTGGTGTGACGATAAGAAGAGAAGGCAATGCGAGATGTTGGGATCATGAGAGTTGGCATGCAGCAAGTGTAAGTGAGTGTGTCGGATGTTCTGGTGGCGAGTTAGGATAGGCCAAGGCTAGTAGGGAGTACAACCCATGTACACACATTTATGGTGCGAGAGATCATACGATAATTGAACATCAAAACCGAATGCAGTAATTGGAGTCAAGGGATTGCAAGGGACATATCAACCCGGAGGGGTTGGAAAGAAGCGGCAATGTCGAAATTGCGGGGTGATGGCGAAAACATTGTTGTATCATTTGACCACCACAACAAAGTTGTAAGGGAAAGGAAATGGAAGATCCATCACCAGTTGTTGCCGTTCAACCGGATTTTTCCGATGAACCTGCCGACTCACCATGGGTCTTTGGTAAGGGTAGTTTCTCATCAAGTCGTTTTGGAGAATGGAACGAATTTGGTAATATCAGCAACATGACGGGGAAATAACTTTGCCTATACGAGACCACGACGCATCATAACCTTATGTTCCTCCTGAATTGTTGAAGCTACTAGATATCTTGAATAGATTGAGAGTTCCTCCTAACCGAAATATCTGTTAATCTTGTCGAGCATGAATGGCTACTCTTGGGCAGATGAGGAATGTATCAGTGACACTTTTTGACTATTTTTCGTCTCGTAGTACATCAAGTGATATAGTAGACAATAGATCATCTTGAATAAGTACACGTAAGACATGCTATAGCGACATGAGGTTTGGTGAGTGAAAATAATAAACAAAATGGGTGACTTTGATAAGAAAAAAGTGTGGATACAAGAGAGATATAAGAAGCGCACCGAAGATAGTTAATCGACTATGATTTCATTCGGATAGTTACTATTTATTTTTCTCTCAAGGCAAGAACTGGCACCAAAACTCTGATTTTGTCTCCTGATTTTTCGCACTCCCATTTTTACTCTCAAGAGCCTTCTTAAATAACAGAACCTCCTTTCTCTTCCTCTTGACTTCTCTCGCCTCGTGCAACCTTCTCTTCTTCTCTTTCTTTTCCACCTTCTTCTTCGCTCTCTTCTCCATCTTCCCCATCCTTACCTTTAACTTCTCGCTAGCCTTCTCGCTAGCTTTCTCGTTTGTCACCTGCTGCGTACGACCAGCGAATAATAGTTTAAGCTGCACATGCCTGATAGTGCCTGGGAGCTCTGGATTGTAGTCGCGGTTTGTGAGATCCGGGTCAGAAAGTAGGCGGGTAGTTTGTGCATGGAGTTTCTGGAGAGCCGATGTGAGAGGTGTGGCAGGATGGTCCGGGAAAGATGCAAAGATATTCTTTCGATGAGGATCAGGAAGCGGTCGGTAGCTGAGTCTTGATACTTTTGCTTCTTTTTCGCCATCTTCGGCTGGGTTGATGACCTGTTCAATCTGCGATACTTGCTTTTGCTCACTTGCCTCTTCTTGTTTCTGATGCGCATCTTCCTCAAATAGATGAGACGAGCTTTGCCCTCTATTTTCAAGTACAAATGCTAGACCGAGAGAGTGTCGACCGTTGCTGCCATAAATGGTGCCAGCTTCAGAAGCCTCACCAACGTTGTCGGTCCAGAAGATTTCTCCCTCAAACAGTCTCTTAGCGGTTCGATATACGGTACCAGTGACTGGGATGAGTTTGTTCGTTTCGTCCATGGTAGCATTGACTTGTAATCGCCCACTGCCATGACCAATGGTGATTGCACCCTCCATCAAAGGGTCAGGAGCTAGCATCTGCTCAACAATGGTCCCAGGTATGCGAGCTGCGACTGCTGTTGTCAATGCTGCAGTCAATGGGATAGCCCTATGGGGTTGCGTGTCTGAGAGGAAACGGAGGACAATATCCATTTGCGATGACACAAGTGTTTTTCCGGATAGTACAGGATGAGTGGATGACTGCGACACGAGACCGATCTTGGGAATAGTACGGGGTACCTCATCTTCTGTTGTTGCAATTCCCATTGCCACTGCTGCGGCTTTCCGTATGTTTTCGAGTAATGCGAGCTTGTCCGGAAGCTTGTTGAAGTCGTTGGGAAGAATGGTACCCTCTACGCCAACATCGTCTGCGCGGACGAAGACCGCCGGATTTGCTCCGTCTACGCAGGATACTTTGTAGCCTGCGATGTTGTCTATCCGTTTGCCTGTAGGAAGCACTTTACCAGTCTTGCTGCCATACGGGTGTTTGAAGTCAAGTCTGATCTTTGAACCGTTTCCAGTCACTCCGTCAATACTATAATCTCCCACAACAGCAGCTTGGGCCCCGATAACTGTAAATGTAGAGTTTATCAACTTGCCGGTGTTGGTGTTCCGTATTCTGACTGTGACCTCTCCGTCACCCTGTGCATAGATTCGAGGCGGAAGGAGACCTGCATTGTATGCATAGGGACCGATGGCGCTACTCATGTTCCCACAATTGCCTGCAACGTCGACTTCATTGTTCTCGATGCCCAGGCCTACGAAAGTATAGTCAACGTCTACTTCCTGGCCATCAACATTCTGCCGTGCTTTCTCTTGAGCCTGTACGTCTTGAGCAGTTTCTCGAGCTGCATCTATCCCACCGTACCCTGTACGAAAGCGAGTTGCAGGTACACCAGGAGCAAACCTTTTTCCGTAGGGCTCGATTAGACATATCTTGCTCAAACTCGATATGCCCGTGCCCATACCATCGAGTTGTCGTCCATAGGAATCGCCACTTCCCATGATCTGGCGGAAGATGGTCGGCCATTTTGCGCGCTCTTTGGGGAGATGCTGAGGTTGGATCATGACTGCCCGCGATGTCCCTCCTCGATAATAGGCAGCCTTGATAGGCTTCTGCACCGATGCAAAGGGAGGCGCATCATGTCGAGACACAAAAGTGCGTATGCGGAGGGAGTATATTGGCGAAGAACGCATTACGCATCACGCATCATGGAATTGAGCCCTAGAGAATCAAGTCAGAGATCTCAAAGTAGATCAAAGGCGAATATTCGGAGAAGATCCGACCTCGGGACGGCAAGGCTGGACCCTGTTCGGGTGGGTGCGCTGGGCAATCCCGTCACAGCTCCGAAATTTTCTCGAAGACGATCAACATCATTGCATCCCACATTCTAACTACATACCTTTTCTTGCCGCACAATCATCTCGCTCCACCCTCGTAGGTTTCACATATCAACACACAACATGCTGCAAAGAACTATACTCCGCGCCTCGAGGCAACAGGCTGCCCGCCAAATACGGGCTTTTGCGCCACTACGTCAACAGTTCCCCATCACACGAGCAGTAGCCACACCCGCCATCCGATGGTATTCAGATGCCCCGCCGGCAAAGGAAGGCGAAGCAGCCGAGAAGAAGGAGGATGCGCCCGCAGAAAAGAACGAGGTATCACAATTGAAGGAGCAGCTAGAGAAGAAGGACAAGGAAATTGTCGAATTGAAGGTATGCCACACCCCAAGACACAGGAAAAGGAGGGGCAAACAACTAACAATGCCTGACAGGACAAATACCTCCGCTCAGTCGCCGACTTCCGCAACCTCCAAGAGCGCACTAAGCGCGAAATTGAAGGCGCAAAGAACTTTGCCATCCAGCGCTTTGCCCGCGATCTCGTCGAGTCGGTCGACAACCTCGACCGCGCCCTTGGCACGGTGCCAGAGGAGAAGCTCAAGTCGGACAACACTGATCTGATTGCCCTGCACGATGGCATCAAGATGACCGACACCATTCTCATCAACACACTCAAAAAGCACGGATTGGAGCGATTCGACCCCTCGGAGTCGGCGGAGAAGTTCGATCCCAATGTCCATGAGGCAGTGTTCCAGGCACCGCAGCCAGATAAGGAGGACGGCACTTGCTTCCACACACAGCAAAAGGGCTTCAAGCTCAACGGCAGAGTACTGCGACCAGCAAAGGTTGGCGTTGTAAAGAATGCCTAATTTACAAACTCCTACACGATCTATGACGACTCAGACTCTTTTTTTTTCTCGCATCTGTATGACTACCTACCTTGGCTTCGCTGCTCCAAAAAGAAAGGCAGCGGTACATTTTGGGGAAAAAAGGCGTTTTCCTTCCTGTGTATGTGCCATACTCATCGGCTTACACTTGGAAATTCTCTTCTTTTTATGGAGACAATGTGTACATATATTCCCCTCTCTCACACACGCATCTGCAAACAAATGTTTCGCACCAAAATTAACCTAAATGACGTAACTTTGCGAAGTTGTGTATCTGTAATATTAGCTTATTGATGGACAATGATGATGAAAGAAGAAGAAAAATCTTGAAGGAAAGAGAGAAAAGGTCAATTGACATTTGCTTTCGACTCCCCCTCCACAATCTGCTCCATTCTGAATAAGAATTCGTTCTCTCTGTTTGTGACGACGCCCAACCTATTTTCGAACGCCAGACCATGCATTTGTTTTAAAACCCAATCAGAGTATATTGGGTATTTCAATTTCCCTAGGATCTCCCTTCCAAGTTCGTCATACATCTACCAGCCCTGGCCGTAAGGCGTAGCACCATATGGCGTGGTACCTCCTTGGGCTGCACCACCCCAGGAACTGGCACCGCCATAGCCTCCGGGGCCTCCCACCGGCGTGTAACCTCCTGCATCGCCGTAGCCTCCGCCATTCATCATGGGGCTTTGGGCACCGCCGAAGTCCTCGTGGTCTCCAATGCCACCAGATAGTTCTTTGAGGACTTCGGCAAGTTTGATTTGTAACCGTTGGATTCCTTTTGTGACAATCTGATCGGGCTCGATACCACCGACTGTCTCGACGTCGTAGAAGAAGCGCGTGGGCACGGCGTTGTAGTTGAAGGGCTCGTCGGGGTTGGGTGGGCCGCCGTCGAGATTGACACGGGCTTCGTCTTTGGGCCTACGGGCATATCGTTAGTTCGACGCGATCCCTTCACTCCACTCAACAAGACTATACATACCACTCCTTCTCCGCGTCTTCCTCGTGCCAGTAGTCCAGGTGGTGCAGCTTATTTGCGGGATCGTATTCGAATCCAATCGCTGCACTGGGCGCCCACTTTGCGTGTTCCTTTGCAATACCCTTCTTTGCAATGCACTTCATGTTGATGGCCTGGCCTCTGCGTAGCTTCACGATACAACTGCCCGTCCCCTCTGAATCCGTAATCACTGGCCGTCCTAACTCGTCGTTTGGCGGCCTCGACTCGATGACCAGATCGCGCGCATACACCTTCATAACCTCGCTTCCTGTGCATTTGGCATTGAGGGTAAGAACGACGCTGCAGTTGTCGCAGTAGCCTTCGCAGTCGCAGTCGCGCGAATACAACAGGTCGTCTACGCCCTTTGACGACAAGGGAATGAGACCAAGTCGGTGGCAGACAAACTCGTCGGCAAGGACCGATGTGTTGTCAAACACTTCGACAACATCGATGGCAAGCGTCGGGATCTCGGCGAGCATTACACGGCGAAGTGCATTTGCGGTCTCGAGATTGAAGTTCTGAACAATGAAGTGGGCGCGCTGGTTGTCGGCCTACGCATGGCTGTGTTAGCTCGACGTATCCGCCAAGGTAGACAGAGCGGGCGGTGTACCTGGAGGAAGCGGACGTTGATTTGGCCGCCATCTGGATCATAGTCCATCGCGTCGTTGTGTGGGTGAGAAGGGGGCTGAGGGGTCGTGAAAGTCGCAAGCGAGCCGAGGTACTGAGGCGACTGGAATGGATGAGCAAAAGGTACGTGTTGGCGTGTGTGGGGTGGTGCTGGCTAGGGTCGTCGTGCTATACGGAGATTCTTTGAGGTGAGTTTGGAGCTGAGAGGCGGCCTAAGCCGATTGCGGCTGAATACCCCATGCGCCACATCTGCGCCACAGATTGGTAATGTGAGGCTCGGTTTGCCCCGATGGTTCGCATGGCCTAGAGTGTTCTCTGGTACTTTGGTACTTCGTAGAGTAGTGCCATGCATGATACTAACCATCCAAGTGCCATGTAATATGGCGAAGAAGCTTAGAAATGAATTACAGCATTGTCATATGTGCGCCAGTGATTCTACAGTGCTAGAAAGAAGTCAATGTTATCGGCGGCTTGCCAATGCAACAAGAGTCGATAGCATCAAGAAGAAACGTGCCAGCTCAGCAAAGATGCTGAGCCTGCGGACTTCGAGACGTTAGCGCGACAAGGCGCAACTTGCATCCAGCCTTGTGCGCAAGGTGCTTGCGACACCTCTTATCGAAACATACGCCGCAAGTCAGGCACGGGAGAGTTGTCGCGTGTAAGACACTACTAGATTGCTACTATCGGCTGACAAAGTCGACGTGCACAGGACTGCCTAGGGTCATGTTGCTAGTTGAACCAACCAGTATAATGGATTACCCTGTCAGGTCGTACGGCGCAGCACGAGCAGTGACGTTGTTGAGTCTGCTGCCAATCAAAGACTCTATCATTTGCCGAGTTGGAAAGACAACGGCTGTTGCAGCGTGTATGCAGTATAGTCAGTCTGAACACAGCCAAGGCGGACACTAACAGTAGGCTTATTGCTTCAGCGCTGTGCGGATATCATTCTGTGGCCTAAAGCCGATGCTGCTAGAGTTTTCCTTCGTCCGGCTGGGGGCGGAGTTGAAGGCGAGTGTGCAACAACGAGGCTGAGGCCTTCTCCTTTTCTTTGCGCACCGTGATGTTGTCCGCTGAGTCTCCATCAAAGACGCGTCTCCGAGGCCCGTGACCCCTCACTACGCAACGTGTTGAGGAGTAGAGTATGGGGGGCAGTGCAGTGGTGCCCAGTCCTGGCAATGGTTGCAGGTGTGGACGGCCAAATTCTAGGCTTGGCGAATTGAGGCGGAGCAACGCTTGCTGCTGGCATGCCGAAGCTGGAACCACTCGCCGTCAGAGGGCAATGTTTGATATAAGACGCACTCTGTCACAACATTAATCCCCAACTCACCAAAGCTACTCAACCCACCAGACATTCAGAAAATATCTGCTCCTCTAGCATCCATGATATCAAGCATGCAGGCCACCATCCCATCGCCACAGCGCTCTCGCGCATCATCACGAAGCAAGTCACCGCTTTCTATCGACCTGTCAGACTTGCCACCACTAGTCGAGCCATCACCACCCTCAAACACTCTCATAATCACCGTAAGTAATGTATCGAACGACTTGCAGCTGCTGTACTAACAAGACTCAGAATCTTTTGGCACCCGAAATCTTCCAACTATCTACTCTTACCGAGATCCGCGAAACAATCAACCAACATGCGAAAGTGCACACATGGGCACCGCTCAAATCTTTCCGTCGTATAGTGGTCTCCTTCTTCGATACCGACTCTGCGATACAAGTTCGCCAGGCTCTTGATGGCGAGCAGCTTATGGGCTTCCGTATCCGCGTATACTTTGGCGTAAACACACCCATGAACCCCTCAGACCAGCACCTGGCACTGCCCAAGTCGGATCGACTCTTCTTTATCTCGCCACCACCGTCGCCGCCCATGGGCTGGGAAACAAAGGAAGAGGATGCGCCCAACACAATTGTCCACCCTGAGGATCTGGCAGCAGCACTAGCCAAGCTCCATGCAAACCCCGAGGCCTCGTCACCTACTGATAACGGAAGCAACACTATTACCAGGAGGCGGACAGGCAGCACAACTGTAGTCTACCACCCGGAGGACCATGGCGACTCGCCTAACCTTCCAGCCATATCTGTTGAAGACACAACCGAGACACCTGAGGCTATGACGCCCCTCGATGCAATGGAGGGTGTCGAGGGACCTATTGCTTCGCAAAAGGCTCAAGGCATGAGTACCAGCACCGCCAGGCCACCAGTCGAGCTCATGCACTGAGGCCTCATGTCATTGTTTTTCGGGGGTTTCTTTCTTTCTTTTCTTTCTTATGTGTTATCAAAAAAGCATTACATGCGCATGATTCAAAGCATGGCACGGCTTCGGCGTTTGTGATTTACTGGGTTGGGAAATGCTCGGTTCTGAGCTGGTTCCGTGCATCGGATCTGGGGTTAGCATGAATTGCGGGCGCACGTCGATTAGCATAGTACTTGGCTTCTGCAGGAGTTGCAGCGCATATGGAATGAAACGAATACGTCTAATCTGAGACTGCATTGCTATATGTGTACAGCGAGGAAATAGAGATAGCCATTAAGTTATGGCTGAACTTGACTTAAGATGCCAGCTTACCGGTGTACCTTGGAAGTTTCACCTGATGGAAAGAATGATGCGATCATCCGTTTTTAGTCGATTACGACGTTGATGTTGCGACCAGCCCTACCCTGTACACTGAAGCGTAGCTCTCGCATCGGGGCGTGATTAAGCGATCATGAATGTTGTGAACGGTCACTTGTATCTTGAATTACAGGAATTCAAAGAAAGTACTTATTTACCACCGTGACTCACAAAAAAACACTTAACTTTTGTTGTCCATGTTCGCGCTGTGAGGCACGTGTGCACGTGATACGCCAAGGACACTAGCGCGCACCACTGCGTAAGCGAGGCCTTTCGAAAAGCAGATTGCGAAATCTCCAATTCAGACTCTCACGACCACCTACTAACGTTGCAGCTTCCACACGCCGTCGAGACGCCGCAGTCAAGATGAAGCTCAACATCTCCTACCCCAACAATGGCACCCAGAAGCTGATTGAGATTGACGATGAGCGCAAGCTCCGCGTCTTCATGGAGCGCCGCATGGGTCACGAAGTCCCTGGCGACAGCGTCGGCGACGAGTTCAAGGGCTACATCTTCAGGATCACCGGTGGAAACGACAAGCAAGGTTTCCCAATGAAGCAGGGTGTCATGCACCCTACCCGTGTCCGACTCCTGCTCTCTGACGGCCACTCCTGCTACCGCCCCCGCCGCACTGGTGAGCGCAAGAGGAAGTCCGTTCGTGGCTGCATTGTCGGCATGGACCTTTCCGTCCTGGCTCTCAGCATCGTCAAGAAGGGTGACGAGGACATTCCCGGCCTGACCGACATTGTCCACCCCAAGCGCCTCGGTCCCAAGCGCGCGACCAAGATCCGCCGCTTCTTCGGTCTCAGCAAGGAAGATGATGTGAGTTTTCTCATAGCTTCTTCGCCAATCCTGCTTCGCCCAGCGGATTGAGTCTCGCTCTTTCCTGCGACTAGCAGCGGATTGAGTCTGAGCAAGAAGTGAGCCTAGTAATTATAAAGGTTTGAGAACTAACAATGTTATTCGTAGGTCCGCAAGTTCGTTATCCGTCGTGAGGTTCAGCCCAAGAAGGAGGGCGCCAGGCCCTACACCAAGGCCCCCAAGATCCAGCGTCTGGTCACTCCTCAGCGTCTCCAGCACAAGCGTCACAGGCTCGCACTCAAGCGCCGCCGAGCGGAGGCTTCCAAGGATGCTGCCGTACGTACATTCTATATTTATGTACAGAATCAAAAACTAACAACATGGTAGAACGAGTACGCTCAGATCCTGTCCAAGCGTATCAACGACGCTAAGGCTGCTCACGACGAGGCCCGCAAGAGGAGGGCGTCTTCCATGAAGCACTAGAGGATCATCATGAATTCATGATTGGGTCGTGAAATGGTTACATTGGCGTCGACACGAAAATAAGGGAGTGGGCTCCTGTATCTGAATGAAAACTTCGGGCATTCAAGGGGATAGGCGCTTCTCATACCACTGACTGTTTCAAGCAGTTGTCTGAATAAACAATTGCATCACTTCACGACCGCCACGTATGATCTCTGCATCTCGCCTTGTTATTTTTCCCGTCTGTACTTTGCGACAGCTATGTACCGGCACCTTTGCAGAGCACTGTTGCCATGATTCCTGGGTACTTACAGAGTGTTATAATCTCGTTGGGAGTGTTATTGAGCAAACAAGCATAATTGCTATTGCCTCTAGGCACTCTCATTCATGAGGCTGTTGAACTTATCTAATCACTGTGCCCTGACTCTCAATACCCCTAGCATATGGTCCCTCTAGGATGTCGCTCCCACCCAGCAAACCTACTGCCCCATTACCCAGTAGTCCGCCTGATGGCACGCTACCTCGACGGTCCGACCATATCTCATGAAATCGAATTGCCATATCACTAGCCGCAACCACTATGCATCCCTCTTCCACACCTCTCCTTGACCAAACACCATCTTCGCCTCTTGCTCTTCCGTTGTTACTGTCGTCGTCCAGCTGTGCTCCGCTTGTAGGTCCACCAGGGTATGCAATGGCGCACAGAGCACGACTCTCATCATACCAGGGCACAGCAACGAGCTGCTCGCAGCTAGGCCACGCAAACACCGCAATACGATACGGATGTTCTGGTTGGGCAAAGCCAAACGTTGCAGCTATCTCACGCCGCGTCTGCGACCAGATAAGACTAGTGACCTGGGCTGCACAGTCGATGGTTGCAAGACAGGTACCCGAGCGTGTGTGGTAAAAGTGGATACAGCGGTCATTTGAGCCGCCGCCAATGGCGATGAGTCCGCGTTGCCAAGGACAAAAGGCCATTGCTTTGACGGCAGCGTTGAGGGTCCATGTGTGCTTTGCTGCGGAGGGAGTGAGATGCAATACTGAGTCATCGCGATTCGACACTGTGTAGATGGATTCTCCCGTCGGTCCCTGACGGACGTCGAGCAAAGCTGACGTGTCTTGGCCTGGTGGGTTCGGGCGGAGGATCTTCTTCGTTTCGAAGAGATTGCAGTTGTTATCGTTTCCGCCACTTGCGAATAGCTCGCCATCTGGAGACCATGTGAGGCCACAGATTTGTTGGCTGTGGATTGTTAGACGGACGATAAGGGTCATGGCGCCATGCCAGCCAAAGAGCGCGCTTTGGGTCTCCGAGGGCCATTCAACGCTGTAAAAGTAAATATGGCCCACTTCATCTCCGATGATCAACTCTTCGGTTGAGACGGTCATTGCTCTATCGCGAAGAGAAGGGCGCTGCACAATAGTAGGTCTCCAAGCTACGCATGATACTGCCTTGGGCTGTGTAACATCAAAGCGAGGTTCTGAATCAAAGGGGCTCCAAAGTGAGATGCGTCCGTCTGCTCGTCCTGCAGCGAGGATTGCCTGGCCACCGCACTCTGACGAAAAACTGAGGGATGTAACGTGCCGATCCACGGGGATACTGTTTGGCGGTCTCGCATTGAGTGATTCTGGTGTGTTCACACCACTCCGCTCTGACCAAATGTGTACAAAGTTCCCTAGGCCGACAGCAAGGCATTTGGAGGTATCTGAGTATGCGATTAGGGTGCAATAGTAGTCGTCTCGAAGGTCAGGTGCGTCGAGAACTGTGGGTTGGGTAAGCTTCAATAAACTCGGGGATTTCTAGCACCTATCTGAACGGCAGTATTGGCACAGTTCTTCGCTTCTGCGGTACTTGACGTTGTGCTTCATTGAAGCATTAGCCCAAAATCGAGTGGAAGATATTGTGGGAATTCAGAAAACAAACGTGAGCTCAAATTCTCTTTGATCCATGCGCTGTCTCGCCACACATGTCTGCCATGTGATGGTGCGCTAGACTCTGGAGAGTTTCGAGAAGTCCACAAAGGTGTATGTTGGAGTATTCGGTCTGTACGGTCGATATCCAGTGCTAGTGCTAGTCGCTGTGCATATGCTTCTAGCTCAGCTTCAGGATCCGCTCGGCTAAGGAATGCGGATTTGTAGAGCGGAGCATTCGTTCCACTACCGAGCATCCTACCTCTTCCAGTGGATACGGCTACCACCGTGTCACTCACAGCAGAAGGTCCACCAACGTTCCAGACTGCGCCAGTACTGATCTGGCGAGCAGCTAGGGGCACAGAACCTCGTCTGAAGTGAATATTTCTCCTATTGGCGTTGACCCTTCCCAATATCATTGAATGTGTCTCTCGAAGCCCACGCAGCTCTTCATTTAGCCGACCACTCCTGCGTAACCGACGACTGAAGGCGTCTGCGTTTGTGTGAGTACCTCGGTTAGTAGCCTGTTCCGTTTTTCGACGTTCTGCAGGACTATTGAGCTCAAAACTTTCTCGCGCAACAGCTGGTGGCCGACGGTAGGCTATGAAGCGATCAGGCGTGCCTGTTTGACTATAGCGAGTCGACTCTAGCAAGCCTTCTCGGGCTACGGATCGACTAGGTCTTATGGGAGAACTCGAATAACATAAAGGAAATGGGCGTAGTTTATTATCTGGATTGCTTTTCCTCGCTGGGGTGTCAATATGGCTTGTCATGGGCCGAACTTGACCTTCCTGGGTGACAGGTGATGCCTTAGATCCCGAAGATGGGAACCGTGAGTATGTAAGCTTTTCGACCAAGCCTTCTGAGGAGACAGGATGGCTATGCTTTCGCCTTTTTGGCAGTGATGACCTTCGATCTGGGCCGGAATTATGTATTCTGCTTGGATGAAGTGGTACTTCGTCATGCAAAGGATATTCAAATATCACGGGTAATGAACGAGCGTGTTTAATAGCGAGATCAAGAGATAGATACGAAGAGGGTGGATCGGTAGCGGCAAGTCGCTGTGGTTTGACAGGTGAGTCATCGTGTGGCTGCACCGGTGAAGAGTCGCACTTGGTTGCGTCGAATACCGGAACTGAGAGCGCGTCAAGATGAGAACTGAGTTTGGACTTCCTAGGAGAAGATGTTGGGGTCAGGTGAAGGTCACGGATGGCATTGTCGACGTCCCGAAAGAAGAGACAGCTGCGACTTTTGCGAGGGGACCTGGGTGTCCTTGGTGATGACCACTCTTCTGTGCTGTCGGTCTTTGTAGGGGACAGTGGCAGTACGAGGTATTCAGAGGTCAGTGGAAATGCGTCATCAGCAGTGTCGTTCATGTTGAGCGGCTGGAGCCAAGATGAGTAAACTGAAGGGCTTGTGTCGCCAACCTCAGTTCATGTGAAGCTGTATGGAGGAAAGCAGCCAGCAGATTGGCTACACCTATAATTTTACTGTTGGGTTAGTAATAATAATGGCGAATGAAATTTCAAGGATGTCGTGTGTTAAGTGTAGATCTGATGGAGTGTTGAGTGGCAGCCTCCGTGGGCGGTGACGTGGGGGTAGGAGGTCCACGCGCGTAGTGGGGCAAATCCCACTGCGGCTCCAATCTACAGCAGCTGCGAACTCGCATGTTGCTCAAACAAACACCATGGCAAGCGTAAGCAGACGGCCTGCTTACATACATATAGAGTATGACTAATAATTCTAGCACGGTATAGCACGCGGGACAGGTCCTGTTGTACGTTCTGAGGAGGCTCGACAGAAGGAGCTTGAGCAGATTGCGCAGTACAAAGAGCTGGCAGATTCGGTGAATACAAAGGTACATGACTGGTCTCGGATAATGCCAGAGCAGGGCTAACTTTAGATACTACAGATCGCTGAGAAGCAATATACAATCGAAGCCCTCGGCCTAGTCACAAAACTGCTAAACGAGAACCCCGAATACTACACAATATGGAACCACCGCAGACGCGTCTTGATGGCTCTGGTGAGAGCAGAAACGCCCGGACAATCCCCACACGACTTGCTGCAGGATGACTTGCAACTCACGTTTGCACTGCTCCGAAAGTTCCCCAAGTGCTACTGGATATGGAACCATCGCAACTGGCTCCTGCGCCAGGGAGAGACCTTGATGGGAGTAGAAGCGGCGCATAAGCTCTGGTCGGGAGAGCTGCAACTCATAAACAAGATGCTGCATGCGGACAGTCGAAATTTCCATGCTTGGAGCTACAGACGTATTGTGGTGTCGGAAATCGAACGCTTGACCGCGGATTCAGAGCCTACAACTGAGAACACTCCAAAGAGTCTCGCTGAATCCGAGTTCGAATATACCACTAAGATGATTAAGACCAACCTCTCCAACTTTTCCGCTTGGCACAACCGCAGCCAACTTATCCCCAAGATTCTCCTTCAACGTAATGCAGACTCCAAAGCACGTCGCGCCTTCCTCAATTCAGAGCTGTCTTTGATATGTGAAGCCATAAACACCGACCCGTTCGACCAATCCATATGGTTTTACCACCAGTACCTCCTCTCAGTTTTGTCTCCTTCGTGTCCACCAAACCACCAAGTCGTCCAAGATTTGACTAATGACGAGCGGCAAAAGTACTACGAGAATGAGATGGAATATATACGGGAGATCTTGGAGGATGAGGCGGATTGCAAATGGATATACGAGGCGCTCCTCGGGCTTGCAGAGGCGTACCTAGAGGTCGATGCTGGCACAGGGACGTTTACGACAAAAGACATGAAGTCATGGCTAGGCGAGCTGAAACGACTAGATCCGTTGCGGCGAGGAAGGTGGGACGACTTGGAGAAAAGACTGAATCTTTAAAATGCCAATCAATGAAAGATGGCAGCCATCAAGGCTTCCCATTCGCTTCTTCAATGTCTGCCTTTGCAGGCACTATTTCTTTCTTCGCTTCTTTCTTCCAAGCCCACAAACCTAGCATGTTCGACCAGGAATTGTCAGGCGGTTGGGAGGCAATCGTTTCTTCGTTAGCCCGGAGCTGAGGCTGTGCGGGGCTAGGGTTGACTCCACTCGAAGTAGCGGCAGCAGCCAACTCTCTAATAAGAGTATGAGTAGGGGCATACAAGGGCGCTAAGAGATTGTGCATACCGTTGGTACTCTTCATTCATCCGTGCGAGTCGTTGTTTCTTGAACTCGCCATCAAAAGTCGCTACTCCAATTGATACGCCCATAATCGCTGCCAATGCGATGGGAACGATACGTCCTGCCATTCTTGTTCGCTTGTTATGCGTGCGACCTATTGATGTCTTCGCTTCGAGGTGGAGGTGAATGACGAAAGCACTTCCGCGGGGAAAAGTTCGGCATGCCTCCGCCGCCAGGACGCGCTAGCAGGCGAAGCACGGGACGACGCGTTCATGCCTACCATTTACAGGCAGAAGCCCATTCCACCAACGTCGAACCGCATTACGACATGCAGGCACGCCCAAATGTCCAAATGGCGGCAGAAAGGGTTTGTCCAAGATTCGGATGAGGACGAAGAAGAATCTCAGCTCGAGAGCCAGGGGTCTAGGCTGAACAGTGGCTTGAGTAGACGCGTCGAGCGCGTCGAGGATGACATCAACGAGATCAAGCAAGCGGAGGAGACAAGGCACCCCGTGAAAAAGGATGGAGAAGGCTCTGAAACTTGTTTTGCTGCTGATAGCAACATTGAAAGAACATGTCCACAAGAAAAGAGGATAATATCGCCTACGAAACGCAATTCACCCAAGCGTCCCACGCCCTCGCCATTTACGCCGTCGTCAACGCATAATCCAACACCTCAACCGTCAGAGAGTCCAGATCCGCTCCAAGGCTCTCTAACACCAAAATTTCTACGGACTATTCGAAGTCAGCTATCTCAACACCGCCCTGAATCGCCCTCGCGCCAGCACAGCTCGACAGTGACCATACCTCCGCTTTTCGACGAACATGGGCCACCATACCAAACGGTCCAAAGCTCAAACACACTGCAAGGGGCAGCTCTCACAGAACGCCCGAACGGACGTACTGGGGCTTCGAACATATTGAACGAGTTTGGCATTGCGCCCTTGTCAGATAACTCCGAAGATGATGAGCTTTCAGATCCGCCCACAGACTTGGAGTCACCTCCGCCGGCGTTCATCGAGCCTCATAGACGGACAGCAGTGCAAGTTGTCATTCCGTCTTCAACAGCTTTACAGCGGCATCTCGTGGAAGAAAGGGCAAGGCGTGACTTTCGCCAACGGAAACCCATTCAGTTACATCCTTATGCACTGGAGGGTGAGATGTACCGGAGGGAAGTCCAGAGCAGAGGTCTCCAGCCAGTACGAAGAGAGAGGTCGCGCTCGCCTCAAGGCCACCGAAAGCAGCAAAATGATGAATCGCAAGAGCAAGAGTTCAATCCCGATGAGAACCCTACGAGTAGCCCCCCAGAGGTAGAGATACCAGTCTCCAGTCCCAATGTCCCGCAGCTAGAGAAAGATGGAAATGCCAGAGCTTCAGGACATCAGCATGCTTCCAATCCCATCAGACGCCCTCCTTCAACACAGCTTCGCCACCCTCATGCAGCGAAACGGAGGAAGCCCAATATTCCATCTGCACAGGATGTTGAACCACCGACAAGCATATTCGAAAATACTAGGCTGCAACGCGACATTTGGTCAATGCCCCCCAATTCTCCTCCTTATTCGAGTAGTCCACCACCGCAGGCGAACGCTTCAGCCCGCCGTCCAGGTGTGCTGCGTGCGACGACCCCAGCCCCCAACTTGCCAACTCCCTCTACCTCATCAATCGTGCAAGATGAACCTCGTTCATTGTTGGAGTCTGACTCTGATACTGTACCGCGCAGTACTCAGAGGCCTAGTAGTGGGCTGCGTCGACCAATAAGAGTGGTACTAACGGACAGTTCGTCTTCCGCGGCAAGTTCTGCCAGCGAGGCAGAGCAGAGCGACAGTGAGTTAAGAAATGTGAGCAGAAAGATTAAAGGGGTTTTACCAGCGTCTTGGCTACGATTCGACCGGCAGACTCAAGAGCGACGGAAAGCCCAACAACGTGAGCGAGACAGAATGCGTGTGAATATTGCTTTGTCCCCTGAGCGCAGCACACCAATGCGCGGAGTTGCTCAAAAAATCACAAAACCACTGGGTCGGCCCCCGTTGCAACCAGTTCCCAATGCTTCCTCTAAAGATGCAGTCGTTATATCCGATGAGTCGGAGAATGGACTCAGGGCACCTTTGTCACGCCCTATCCAGGATGCCCAGGACCCTGTAACTGATGCCTCGGCATTAGCTAAGATATTTGACAACCGCTACGCTGATGACGACAATCTTTCGGACATGGAGCATGATCGATTGCATTTACCTACACTCGGAGGGACTGGCCCCAAGCGGAAGAGACAGAGCAAGCTGAGTGACGCCTTTGCCAAAGCAAAGAAGGTGAAATCTTCGAGCTATGTCGGACGACCCTCTGGTGGTCGGTCTGAGAAAAGAAGACATGGCCATCCTCGGAAATCGCGTAGACCTGCTCCGCCAGCTATGAGCGTTGTCGACGTTGTTCTGTCGCCATCGAAACGAGCTGCCACTGTACCACAATTTCTCAGAGTAGCCAGGCGGCAAGCACTTCAAAGACCGGATCTTGCCCGCCAAAGTCCACGTAACAAACAAATACGATTACATAATGCTCAAGATACCGAGGAAGCCAACAGCGTTCTTGAGCAGTGGCAAAAGGGCGCTCTAAAGCCGAATTTGGATATCGCTATGCAAGAAAAGAGACCTCGCTCTCCCTTGACTAATAGGGCCGACAACCAGCAGTATGCAGAGCGAGAATCAGGAGTTGATGCGAATTTTGCAAAGGATCTTGATAGGCGATCTGAAGCTACAACAGAAGTCTCCCGTTTGCAACAACGTACAAACATGCCTGCTGGTCTTCGGTTCTTTCGACGCTCCTCCCCTGCTGACGTGAAGTCCACTCGTCGAAATAAGAAATTATCACAGACCACCAAGCATCGCAAAGGTCTAGGGCTCAATGGTTCCTTACCATTCAGAGTCGCACAGCTGGAAGGTGATGAGGGTGACTTTGGCCGTGACCACAGGAAGATCGCGTTCGAGAAAGGGTTACTGCATGTCGACCAGCAATTCAGAAAGCAGCTACCTAATGAGTATCATGTTGTCAATCCCCAGTTAGCGCGTTACCTTGCAGATGATGGTGTTGAACCACCATTGTTCCCTTATGCAAGTGATTCAGGAGAGCGTATAGTAGAGGCTTCAAGCAAACCAGCACCTATGACCAAGAAACGTCTCAAACTCAAGGGTCAAGCGCGAAGGATCGATGTGGATGCACGAGAATTCCGTCAGCCAAGCGAGCCAGCGGTTCAGGAAGTGCTCGGAACAATCGATGTTGCTCCAGTACAGGAACCTAATCCAGAGCAGGACCTTCCTATCCTCCATGGATTGGGTCCTTTTGGGACTCGGTATCCCATCACATTTGACGTATACTCACTGGCATCCGGGACATACTTCCATGCATCTACTTTGATTGGGTCTAATGAGTTTCATCGGGCTCTAAGCACTGGAAAGTCGGAGAGTCGCAATCTTGACGAGACTGCAGGATATGCTACCGTTACCGACGGAACAATGTCTGTCAGATGTGGTTCATGGAGTGACGAGACGTCTTCGAATCTGCATGACCTAGTGACGACCGTGTCGGTATCCTTGGTATCTCAATCATCCAATCCCGGTATATCCGCAAACAATCATGTTAGCGAAATGCTAGCAGCTAAAGTAACACGGTCACTCATTACCTACATATCCGATCACCTTAGCTTCCTGGATCCAATCGACCGAAAAGACTTCGTGACTAAAGCCATCCGGTTCTGCCAAACGCTCTTGGATGGTGCGTTGGCTGCTTTTAACTCTGTTGGCGGTCCTGGAATAGGATTTGGCTGGAATATCACGCGCACTGTCACTTATCTACTTGTCATAAGTCTCCAACTTCACCGTATTGCTCAACACTCAGCGGTCGACGAAGGAAGTCGTATCGAGATCCTAACGCTCTTAAAAAATGCCTCAAAGACTGTGGTCACTCATTTGATACGACAAGGTATCCCTGAGTTGGGCAATTTTCTCGAACTCAACAGGCGACACTCTGTGCGCGAGAAAGGTGTACAACACAGTGAAGTCGTTGTGGAGAGCGCAGTCGTGTGCATACACGTCCTTGAAGAGCTACATATGACAGCTTGGGGATTTTGGGATCTTGCCAGTCAAGAGCTCAGCCCCAAAGTATCTGGTGCCACTCATCTCTCTGCTTTCGAAACAACGTGGGCCACACTGTTCACTCTCCTCCCGTTTAACGAAATTGATGTTTTTGGTATCCCACTCAGGAATCGAAGAGAAACTTTCCACAACGATAATTGGTCATGTATTCGGGACATCCTTCGACGAATATTTGAGCTGTACCCGAGCACGTACAGGAAACACAGTACATCACTGAATGATTATGTGCGGGCCAATCTTGCTCGATGCCACCGATTGATGACACACTGGCACTGGAGACGTCCCGAGTTGATGCTCAACGCCGTTGTGGACTTTTTTGGTAAGAATGGTCTTAGAGGTCTTCGACGCGAGACAAGCGTTGGCTCCTTTCCTTTTCCGGATAACTTTGCTGCTGACCCTTCATTGACTGTTGAGCCAAATGAATACTCCTTCCATATCTCACTCAAGTGCCTTGCCTTGGGTCTGCGCGGTATGAGAGATGTTTACCCCGAGAAAAAGATTCGTAGCTTTGTCTTTCGGTGTTTACCCAACCACGGGCGAGCATATCCAAAAGATCAGCCTCTCGACGAGGAGAGCCTTGCAGCTTTGCGCAATCATCATGACCTGCTATCTGTTCTATACTGGAACGCCCCGCCAGCCTGTCGACCAAAGCTCGAACAAATTCGTGGTCTTGTAAATCACGATAACTCCCACCGCGAGGCCTGCAGATTGAGCGTTCGTGCCTGGGCGAACCTCACTGCTTTCCAACTATCTACTGAAGAGCCGTATAAGTCTGCAGGACCCTTCGCACTTTGGCACAAGGATATCATGCACCAGACTTTGAAACAGTACAAGCTCGCAAAAATTGAGGCGGATGACTTTCTGAAATCAATTGCTACTGAGGGCTCAACAAACATCTCAGCAGTCATGGTCCGCCAAACAATGGAAAGGAACCAAGAACAGGTCATTGCGACTCTGCGAGATTGTATTGCGGGTATGGCAAAGGCTATCAAACGCGCAAGGGATCTATCCTCTTTGAGAAACTTTCTTATCGAGTCCGATATCATGCATCTACTTGAGCTTCCTCACCTGGAAGATCGGAGGCTGATCAACGTCATTCATGACACGCTCAAAGTTCTGCAAGAGTACACAAAGTCACAGAATCTTCAGAAATTGCAATCAAAGAAGGATGTAAGCCAGCAAACCAATGAGGAGAGTCAAGACTACGGCGATTTCCCAGATATGGACGACTTGGATGATCTAGATGATTTAGAGTCAGCTCCTCCAGCGAAGCAATTACAACAGTCCGGTCTTGACTTCATCCAAACACCACTTTGGCATCTGCTTTCGAATGCGTTTGGCGCGGAGAATGCACCAGATGACATTTTGCTCAAGGACTGTGTCGATACCTGGGTTTGCATTGCTGAAGGTCAGATCGTATCGGGCGAGCGAGCATGGTCTCACTACCTCGATTCGTTCAGCCAGGTGTCATGGAAGCAACTACGTCAAACCGAGCAGACGCGCAAGTTCGGTCCCTACTTCATGGCTGCTCTCATAGACTGTGACCCTGCCGTGTATGAAGAACATCGGAATGACTTCCTCCAGGCTCTGATGGTGTGTTTGGTGGAACGAGAGGCCATGCTCAGATTCCAGCATCGGCTGCTGCACGCCATCATAAAAACAGATGGTGATCACCCCCTCATGCAGAACCTGCCCTTCTTCCGTGATCTCGAGACTGGCGCATGGGACATCAACCCAGACTCCCTCCGCACTCGACGCCTAGCACTTATTTCAAGCATCCTGTCAAACATGCGAGATGACATCTACGCTGTCGAGCGTCATGAGCCTGAGCGTGCGTCTGAAGCGAGGAGACTTTACGCCTGCATGCTCAGAGACTTTATGACATCTATGAAGTACAACTACCAGCAGCTCAGTCAAGGCACAACTATTACGGGCGCCTACGTTGAGTTCGTTCAGAAAATCGTTCAGTTCTTGAAGCAATACACAAGCGACATAGTCCCCGTACTACCTTTCTTCACAGACTCGGCCGCTTTCCCTTTACCAGCCGAAGATCCTACCTACGTAGTTGCTCGCCTCTGCGGATATGCACCGAAGCTATCGGAGTCTGGGAAAGCCAAACAGTTATCAGTCTTCATGCAAACTGTAGCACAACAAGCTGCTGCAGACAATCAACAAACGTACTTGGTGCACCAGCTCACCACTGCGCTTTGTACCGATCAAGCACCAGCAGCCGACAGAGCAACACTGCGATCCGTACTATTGCGAGCCATCTTCCCAGCATACCTCGAAGAAATGCTCTCATCCAGCACCGCCTTCGCCATCTGCCTCCCAATCTTACAAGCCCTACCACCCACCCTCGACACGATGATCTTCGACCTCCGCATCACCCAACCAGAAAGCCTGGCTTCAATCGCCACCTCCATCATATCCATCTCCCACGCCTTCATCCGCTCCACAGAACAACTAAAAGATAACCACCACCTCCTGCAACGCCCCTGTGTCCTCTCCGCGCTAGCCCATATGCTCGACGCCATGACATCCATCTTGCCGCCATTGGAATACATATCGGGTCGTACCTCCGATACCATTTCCGCTCCCCCATTCGTAACGTACATCGACGATCTTACCGCATACATCCTTATGCTTCTTCATAACACAGAGCTTGACAGCGTACCTTCTTACGCCGGCGATGCGCATGCTTCGCTTCCGGGAGACCAGCACACCGCGCTCCTCGCTTTCTGCCGCCGCAGTTTAGCGGAAAGTATCAAGACTAATTGGAGTGAGAATGCAGGCGCAATATGGTTTGGCGTTGGCAATGCTCGGCGCGAGGTTCTACTCGATGTGGGCAGTGTAGAGGAAGAAAGAGTAAGGTTAGAGGCATGTGCTATGCGGTTCCGAGGGGTATTTGATGAGTTGTATGGTGTTGGAGATTATCGCGGTGGGTATGAAATGAGTACGGAGTTGGATGTTGTTGTTTAGCTGGTGTGCGAGAGCCTTTTTTCATGAGCCTGTAATGTTTAGTTCATGGATGAATTAGATGAACGTGTTATGTTAACATGCAATGCTTCCTTTCTGCTTGTGCAAAATCAATCCCTCTTTAGAAATGTCACTCATCTTCACACCATCTTTGCCTGGTGTCCATTTCAATTTCTGAACTAACCACATAGCATAAAATTAAGGTTACCTTGCTCACGTCTAGCAAGACTCGATCGAACCCCCATTCCCCATGTGACTCCGTACTCATGTTCGGAGTTTCCAGCAAACCATGCTCGGTGCCTGTACCAATACTCCACGCCTTCATCCTTACAAGTTCCATCGCTCCGCCGGACAAAGTACTCAAGATAACCTTCGGACTTCTGATAAGAGTGTGGACTCCGTGACACTTCAGCCCGAATTGCTACTTTCACCTTTACCTTCACCTTCGCCTTCGCCTTCACCCTGGCCTTTGCGTACATGTTAGCTGAATTCTCTCTGAGAATAGATTAAGTCTTACGTGAATTCAACAATTTTTCAGTAGCCTCTCGCGCCTTCCTTTTCGTGTCCATTCGTGCATTGGTTTTTGCAAAGTAGGATTTAGTATCATGTTTGACAGCGTATCGGATGGCTTCAATATGGGTCATCTGCGAAGTGAAAGGATCATAACTGTGCATGTCCCAATCACACGGAACAACAGGCCTTTGGGTACGTTCATTTGTTGCAGATTGATCATCGGTACTAAGTTCGGAAGCGGGCGTCTTCTTCTTGTTCTTCTTCTTGTTCTTCCTCTTCTTCTTTTTGGGTGTTTCGGCTGAGGCGTTTTCAGACTGAGCGGCAGTCTCTAAAACAGGTGTATCTTGCGGAAGATTAGAAGCACCACTGTTGTCGTCAGGAGCAGAGCGAGCATCAGTTGGTTTATGAGCATCATCTCCAGCTAGGGTTGAAGTGGACGAGTATCGTGAAAGAGATTGACGAGGACTCGTAACTGCTTCAAGAATCAATATACGATGTACCTAGTCTCAGGCGCTTTTGAACCTACTGAACTGACCAAGTTCGGATTCCTCTGCAGACGGAGTCGGAATGGCCAGCAATGATGTGGATGGCTTTTTTTCTGACCCTGTTTCACATTCTGGTTCGTGGGTAGGAGTAGAATCATTGTGGGAAGGATTTGCTTCGTCATGAGACGGAGCATTGAGGGGAATGGCTTTCTTTGATATGGAAGTGGAGCCTAGTTCCTGTGGCGAGAGGAGAGACTCAGAATCGAGTTGCCGCTCAGGCTCGGTTGATGAGGCTTGCTGGAGTCCTGGATGTTGGGCACTCTCATCTGCCTGATTCATTTTCTTTTGATTGTCTTCCGTATTAAAGTCAGTAGCCTTCGCCTTAGTTGGGCCGTTAGACTTCTTTATCTCATCGGGAGTATCCTCGGTTCTTTCGCCAGCTGCGTCTACATCAAAGCGTACACCTCCAGCAATGGATGAGTTGGCTGAACCCATGGACGTCTCAAGCTCTCGCTGTGGATCTGTAAGAATCTTCACTTTCTTCAAGGATGCAATCTTATTGGCCTTGGCCTTGGCCTTGGCAATTCGATCAGCCTCCTCCTTCTTCTGCTGCTTCTTCTTGGTCTCTTTCTCCTTCTTTGCTTGCGCCTTGTTCTTTGTAGCGAATGGATGAAGGGACTGCATTTGCTGAGCTCGAACCTTTTTGGCCGTGTCAGTTGAATTCGGCTCGACAGGAGCTGACATGGCTGCGCCCTGTTGTGCAAGAGTAGCTTCTGTATGTGCTGTATCTAGAGTCACCTCTTTATCCTGGCTGTAGCTTTCCCCGGTTTTGGAGGCTTCTGGGATATTTTCAGGGTTTAACGATATAGTTTTTGGTTTCTCAGGCTCCAAGCACGTCTCTTGAGAAGCATCAGGCTCGGGCTCTTCAGTCGTGACTTGGGATTTGGGCCTGTCTTGTATTGGGTTCTCGGAGGTAATTTGTGAAGGTGGAGCGATGGTACCATGGTCCACAGTATTCACTTGGTCCCCAACCCCTGGTTTTGGCTCCATTTGCGTATCTTCAGAGTGCACTTCTGGCGCGGAGTCACAGCTGTTGCTATTCTTCATTCCAGTATCAGGAGCATCGGTCTTAACCTCATTTCCTATTCCGGGGGTCGATTTTCTCGCATCGTCCCTCTGTGGGATTTGGGTTGGCTCTTCCCCGAGACAGATATCCTTATCAGTAGGTGAAGGTGTAGAGCAGGATGTCATGTCTTTGTTTTGAGCACTGTCCAATTGGCTAGGCTGTTCAGGTGGTTGTGCAATCGATTCTCGCACCTCGTCTGCCGTATGACGCACCTCTTGGTCAGGATTCGATGGTGGAGCAACTTGAAATTCGGTTGAGTGAGTATTTCCAACACTCTGATCATTTGCTCTGCATGATTCGTCGTCCTTGGTAGTGGCTGGAGATATTACATTGACTTCCGGTTCTTCGTTGGCCTCTGGTTCCTCATGTATGGAAGGCTCCTTCTTGAATGGCGACTCGCGTTTGTTTTTGCTCCTAGCTTTCTTTGCGGGAGACTTTTGTTGGCGTTTCGAATTCTCCGATTCAGGAACACCAGTCTCTGCATGACTGACGATGTCCGACTGTACAACAGGCTTCTTTGGCAGGCCGCTTCTAGCATCCTGGGGAGAGTACAATATCACATCTTTTGCTTTAGCCATTACATTATCGGCATCAATGGCAGTACTCTTCTCGCTATGTGATAGATTGGTCGTAACACGAACATGGCTGTTACCTGCCTGGCTTGTGCGTGAGTAATCAGAGTACACTGTCGGGGGCGACTCTTTCTGATAGAGCCGCCTTGGTACTGAGACTGTCGGCCGAACCTCGCCGTTTCGTAGCTGAGGATCAAATTGATTGATAGTAAGAGCCACCTTCGCATCGGCGCACGATGCAAATCTGCACATGTTAGCTAGTCCAGAAGGCTGAGGAACTATCTACTCACGTGGCAAAAGCATGGAAAGGGCTTTTTCCTGCATTGTTCCTCAAGGAAACCGCAGTAGGGGTGATTCCAATTGTCTTTTCAAATAGCTGTATAATCTCACTTTCGCTGACATCCGGGGGCAGATCTCCAACCCAAAGCTCTTTGACAGTAGCATTGTTAGGGCCAATCCAGGTGTGACCACATCCTGAAACTGAATCACCTGTGATGTTCGGATCATCCTCTGACTGACGTCGTCTACTGTTGGTTTCGTTATAGCGTGGGCCCGTCGGAATCATATGGCTATGACTACTATGGACTGAACGGCCACTCGAAGTGGACATCTTTCGACTTCGGTGCTGCGGAGCAGTGAAACCGTAAGGTCCGCCTTTCTTTCCCGCATCACTGTACGCCTGCCCAGCGCTAAACTTGCGGTTGCTACCATTGTATGGATCATAGAGTTGATTTGCACCTGAATGGTTGGAACGGCGAGGTATCGGTACTCGAGGATCTATGCCTTGAGGACCCATATGAGCCGGGAGGTGCGTATTCGTCATCTCGCCCATCAACATTGGTTGTGGTCCTTGTGGATCGTTGAGATAAGCTTGGTTCATTTGAATTCCTCGTGCGACACCTGGTTGGTAGCCCGTGTGCCCCCGAGACGCACCTGCGGATTCCATACTCTGAATAGAATATCCTGGGTGAGACATCATCGGTGGTCCCAACAAATAGGGGTTCATTGCAGGACCTGGCATCATTGGAGTAGGTATCTGCGGACCACCAGCCATTTGAACCGGGATGTACTGAGTCGGTGGTATTCCAGACATTCCAGCGGGATCTCGCCGCGGATACGGTCCAGAAATGGTACGGCTTTCGTTCTCAACCCAGCCTTGCGGCTGGTTGTATATTCCAGAACCCAGATTTCGACCACCCTTAGGTCCTTTCAAGGCTTGTGCACGTGTATTTTGGGGCTCCATAGACGCGCCCATCGTGCGTTCCATGCCGCTGTATCTCGTATGGCTTTGGAATTCACCTGGCTGTTGCGGTACGTAAGATATAGCATGTTGTGATGGCAGTTGTAATCTTGACTGGTCTGATGTAGTGAGGATTGCAGTAGCCGTGCGACCGGCCTCATCTGATAAGGTTTCTGTCAATTGCGTCAGCTTTTGGTTCTGAATCACAAGTGTCTGCGGCACTTCTTACCAGCTTGCTTGCGGTCGGGTTTCGCAACTGGCATAGTTGTTGCTTTTGCCTCACCGACATCTTGCTGACCCCTAACAAAAAGTTGCTGGTTCCGAATTGAATCTAATGTAGCATTGTGGGCCAAGTGGGAGTCGTTCCAGCTAGCAATCAAGATGAAGGCGACGTGCCAGAGGAACGCTCGAGGAAAGGAAGTGAGTTCGCCGAAGACAAAGATCTGATCAAGAGCTGTGAGTGGATCATTGAGATCGTACACATTTCCGATATTGATGCCAGTGAAATCAAGTCGCTCTGGATGCTCTCGAGCCCAGTCCTTGGCGAATCTATCCGCGGCATACAAGGTATCACGCGCGATGAAGGTAAGCATCTGCTCGCAGAATTGCCTGCCCTCAACAAAGATGTCTGCAGCATCCCAGAGATCCTCGACGGTCCAGCGCTGATTGGGGAATATACACAGGCATTGATCTTGACTGTGGTTAGCAGCTAGTCTGTACGCTCTCCGCACACCCGTATACTCACTCTTGTATTTGATCTGCCAGTACCTTGCCGCCTGCACCACAGCTACAGGGTCGCTCGTACTGCGCACAACGGTAGGTATAAGGCCTGAGCCAATCAGACGGTGAGCTTGCGTTCCAAGCTCAGTGGAAAAGAAAGCTTGGCGTGCACCTGGCATAAATCTCGCGTCTCTAGTCGCATGTTGAGTAGAATCAACGGAGTCGCCCATGTTGGTAATAGTGGCAGTGGTCGTTGCTTGGGACTTGTGCCAGCCAGCTCTAGAACAGCAGATAGGATAGTCGATTGAGGTTCAGAATCTCCCGCCACTGAGAGATGCAGCAAACGATGCTGGCTTGCGAAGGGAAGGGCGTGCTCCGATGGATATCTGCGGGGAAACAGCAGTTCCAGTTGAGGAAAGCGAGGCCGCAATGCAAGATGCAACCTTGGGTTTTGATGGTGAGGAATTGAGAAACGGGCAGTATTAGAGAAGAAGTGGTACTGGTGGGACAGGTGTTTGTTTATGATTGCTTCAGGTGGAAGAGGCAGGCAAATTCTACGCGCCAAGAACGAGGCAGAGGTGAGGGTGGAAGTGAAGGTGAACAACGCGCCATCACCACACCCCATTAGTCGAATCATGTGCTCCTTAGAGCCATCGTCCATAGAAAGCAGTTTTTGCCTAACATAGAGGCGCTTAGTATGAGAGGTAATGAATATGACTAGAGAAAAAGATTGCACATTTGAAAGTGAAGTGGTATGAAGCACGGAACAAACAACGAGAACTACTGCACCCACTGTTTGAGAGTAACTAAGAGACTTTCTTAGAAGGCATGTTTTACATATACAGATGTATGGATTAATCTCTGATGAGAGATGCAACCACCCGTCGCTTGAAAGCATGTCGCGTCAGCCATCAAGCGATCAAGCTATGAGGAGACGAAAGGCCCAACAGTACCTTTCAGATACTTCGCTCTGCTGAAGTTGATGTAAGACTCAGTTTACAGTGTTCTGAGGCGATGTAGTAGTTATAGTGCAGGTCAATCTATCCTACTCTCCCTACGCGCTGTCTTTCTCCTTTGACACTGAGTGTACCAGCTTCATGATTTCACTCTCGTTTTCACCGACAACTATATATCGTCAGTAATCTAATCTCACAATATAGGCTCTCACGCTGTCGTGGGTCAAACTTACCCGCCTTGCCTTGGTTCCAATCCACGACGAGCGGTCGTTGAAATGTCGCGGCATCAGCCTTCAGTCGTCGCATAGCATCGCTCTCGCTCTCTGCCCCGCTGATAACTTTTCCTGCCGCGCTTGGTCCGCCTAGGTAGTCGAGAATGTTCTTGAGCTGGTCGGTGGTAGGTGGGGCCTCTGTAACATCGAGCTCGAATTCTGTGCGCTCAGCCTTGTCTTGGGCTTGGTGAGATGATGCCTGATCTCCGGTTGCATGCGCAACAGATTGCGCATTAGCTTGTTTGAGTAGGGTGAGGACACGCGTTGAGGCTTGGTTGGAAGGCGCGTGGAAGAGAGTTACGACATTCTTTGCGCCGTGCTAAAGAAAAATCAATGAGCAGTTCCCAATGAATTGCAGACATCAATTTACCTCTCCAAATAGTCGCTTGAACATATTTACAGTAACGTGTTCTGACGCTGGGCTAGTAGGTTTGCAAATGAAGTCGAGATGGTGCTCTGACAGCTTGAGTTGAGGTTCGGGTGTGACGTAGATCGTCTCGCTTGTGCCTACCCCATCTGCCGGAGCTCCTGCGGAGGCGTTATCGACAAGAGATCTATTGCACTGCTGCCTAGATGCTTAATCATTGGTCACCATAGTCATGACCGTATCAAATCAGATGATATAGAATGCGAGAATCATATCTAGAATCTACAAGAGACCATCAGTAAGAGTAGGCAAATCAAACAGATGATTGATTGCAACCGGCGAATAGAGCTGAGCTCTAAATCAAATATTTTGATGGATTGTGGCGAAAGAAGATACAAAATCATCACAACGAGCAGTATGACACACATCACGTGTATGGGGCATGGACATGGAATCACAAGCATCTAGATTTCGTGATGCAGCCGTGCAAAAAGCAGAATATACATTTACGCCATGAATATGCCCCCATCATCCCAAAGTGTGGGATCATGCTTCTGCAAAAGAACGTGCCGTAGCGACGTCCGTGATTCCCACTCCCTCTGATCCAGAGTCATAGCTGTACTGAGGAAACCGAATTCATGACCGTATTCTCTAGCTCATCGTGCTCGTTTCATGCGCCCTTCCTCTCGTGCTTGGCTTATGAGGTGGGGTTAGGGTTCATCTGCTTTCCGTCAACATCTACTCGTCATGGGTGGTTTCGTTCTCAACGGACCTTGCGCTTGCCACCGGTCATGGTGACATTGACGAAACGGCGGGTGTATGTGAGCCTCTTCTTCGCGCGGCCCTTGGGGGTCTTCTTCTTCTCTTGGGGCTCAACCTGGTAGGGTGTTAGATCAATTCTCGTAATCGTGGTCCATAACCTAGGTCCTGTTGTGGTTGCGGGGTCGTCGTTCGACGTGGTGCGTTCGGTCGGGACGGCGTGTCAGGATAGGGATGCTTACCTTGGGGGCTGAGTACTTGTTAGCAGATGTTCATCTTCATTTTAACACGAGCCAAGACTTACTCTGAGACTTGACCTTTCCGGCACGAGCGAGGGATCCGTGAACCTTTCCCATATTTGCGGTTGTTGATGAGTCGAGTTTGTCTGTAGGGTGGC